ACCGTGTGCGCCAGAATATTTAAGCGAAAAAAAATCGAAGATTGGTGATCAAATAGCACGACGGCATTATCACTGAATTCGTACCGGCAGGGTACGTAACGCGACTTCTAAGTCGGGTAACTCGTCCGGATCACTCAAATACTGGACGTCCCCGAGTGACGGCTTGAGCAGCGTTTCGACTTAGACGCGCGTCAACGCGCGACGACGTGCTGAGGCGCGCTGGAATCACAACGGCGCTCTAGTCCTGTAGACGCAAACGCAGCCGCAGACGGCAATCAAATCGACGCCGCCCAAGCGGCAGCGCTGATCGGTAACTGAGTGCGTGATCGGGTAACCATACTCGGAATGATTTATAGGATTGGAAATGTGGCGCGTTACAGCGCGACGACGCGCATCACTACAATTCTAAAGTCTAGAAACCTTAGACAATGCCGCTGGCACTGACGTTGCCGCTCCTGCCTCTCAATCAGTACTTTACTTAATTAGCTATCAAAAAACCAGGTAATTTAGTACGAACGAGTTACTCTACTTGGGAATTGGGTCGTATGAGTGTCATGACAATTTTGCCACAGAATGAGGGGGCTATATAACGAAAACTCAAAATTTGACGTACCTTGTCCTTAGGGAACTCTCTTGAGTTGCATCCACCCTTGCTTGCACAGCACGACGCCTTGAAAGAGTGTGCTGAATCAAAGAGTTGATATTGACTGATCTCCAACCAATATTGATTAGTTGTGAACGTACCATTGCTTGCCAGACAAGTGTTGCGCTCACCAGGATACTTGCAAAACATTTCCATGTACTTATCAAATTTTTCACATGACGTCGCTGTGCCGACCAGAGCGCCGACGAGCAGAACGAACAGCAGAGATTTCATTACCTGTTAGGGTACAAATGAAGAATTATGCAATGAAGTAGTTCCGATGGGCCACGCGGTGGCGCGATTATTATGCGAGATTGGGTAGCATACACCCTGGTCGTCTGCGCTCTGCTGGGGATGAGCTTGAGAGAAAGAGAACAGGCCACCGCGTCTCCTCCCGATACGTTCACACCGCGAATTCTAACATTTAGCTACTAGCTGACCTCACATAAGGATGTAGCTAGAGCTGGAGAAGAAAA